ATGTTATATCTCAAGCCCCTAAAGTGGGACTTTTCTGCTGGACTGCATGAGGCATCACTTACTCGCTGGACAGGAAGCCATCCATCAGCAGAGGACCACAGAGAGGAAGTCAGTCGCCGGAGTGCAGATCCACAGGTTAGTATTCGTCTTGCGTTTGGGAATCCGGGCCTTTTTTTTTTTTTTTTTTCTTTCTTTCTTTAAAGGGGTCATCACAGAAATACATCAGATTATCAAGGTAAAATGACCCGGAAGATGAAGATTGCACCTACTTTTTTCCCGAAAATATAAATATCACTTTCTTTTAAATAAAATATTATGTTTATGCATTTCTTTTGGTATTTTATTATCACTAAATTACACCATTCATTTTCATATATAACAAGAAAATTCTATTTGATTTTATCCTGATGATTTTTTTAATCTTTGTTGTTTTTCCTTTAATTTAAAACACTATTTTCTCACAGAAATACATAACATTATGGTTGAATTGCAATTTAAATGGCACGTCATGTGTTTCAAGATATTTATTTCTGCTCTTCTCAGTTTTTTGACTGTTCTTACCGTAGATTGAAAAGTCCAGATCAAACCAACTTAAACTAGTCAAATGATGTAAGATGTAGTTTTAGGCCTTGAGCTCAAATTGTTTCAGGTCACAAATGACCTGAATAGTGCAGTAAGGTTAAGATGGTCACTCTTGTTTAGCTGGGTAACTGGTTTGGGATGTTATACTAGCAAAAAATAAATGCTATAATGTTCCAAAAACCATCTTAACCATCAAGGTGCTGGGCTGAAATTGTTATTAGGTGTTTTATTATCATCATTATTCTCTAGAATCTTTTTCCTTCAACCAGGTTCTTCATCCAGGAATCAGGCAGCAGGTGCAGATCGATCTGATCCTGATGAAAGCTGGAAGTTTATTCCTCAACTGTTTGCCCGGCATCAAGTGGCTCAGCCTGCCTGAGATTGTAGATGAGTTTGAGAAGCTCATGACCAGACAGGTACTGATACTTTTAGAAAGAACCTTCCTTCATAAAAAGGTCTTTTGTTACTTGAAATAAAAAAACTAACTGAAACAATAATAATAATAATAAACAATACATTTAAAAATGTATACAAATTAATTACAACTATATAGACATCTATATAGACATATAAAAAAAACAATAGCTAATAAATAAAATGTAAAAATAAAAACAAATATAATATTTGAAAATATATATATATATAAAAACTAAAATAAGAAAACGAAAAACTAAAATAGTATCTCAATGAATATCACTACTTCATGGAGATTTGGTATATTTGTGGTTTAATATCTCTTTGATGCAGATCGATCTTCGGTTTGAAGCGCAGAACATCGAAAAGTTCCAAAAGAACTTTAAAGATCTGCACTGTGAAGTTTCCAACGCCTCTCAGACCGTTTGTCACAAGGACTGTGTTGGTTGAAACATATGAGGTGAAAACGGCTGTGTTCTTGATCATTTTAATATTGTATATCCGACTTCATTCCACTGAGAAGAACTAACGCTTTGATTTATGCTCTTGTAGGAAAGTGAACCCATCTCAAAGTACCTGAGCTCCGACGTTCCAGAAGGACTCAAGCAGAGAATCGCATGGATGGGTGTCGACCTTCTTTTGAAAATGGTTAGTTACAGGAATCATTCACCTAGTTTGTTCCTTCATAAGAACAGGTTTGGAGAAATGTAGCGTTGCATCACTTGCTCACCAATGGATGTGAATGGGTGCCGTCAGAATGAGAGTCCAAACAGCTGATAAAAACATCACAATAATCCACACCACTCCAGTCCATCGATTAACATTCTTTGAAGTGAAAAACTGTTTGTAAGAACCAAATCCATCAAGACGTTTTTATCTTCGAAATGTTGCTTCTGGCCAAAATACCATAATAACCATAATCCATAATAACGCTTCCTCCAGTGAAAACATCCATCCCTTGTTATCTTCTCTCATCAAAATCCACTCACATATCTGTTTAGGACTGTTTTTTTTTTATTTGTAAATGGTGCTTTACTGTACATTTTTCTCTCCTGGTTCAGACGAGATGACTTTTTAACTGGAGAAAACAATATTATGGATAGAGGACATGTATATTTAAGCCGTAACAATGGTTTGAAGTTAAAAACATCTTAATGAAGGATTTGTTTTGTTTGTTTTGTTTTTTACAAACACACAGCTTTTGGCTTCACAAGACATTAACTGATGGTCTGGAGTCGTATGGATTGCTTGTGGATTATTGTGATGTTTTTATCAGCTGTTTGGACTCTCATTCTGACGGCACCCATTCACTGCAGAGGATCCATTGTGAGCAAGTGATGTAATGCTACATTTCTCCAAATCTGATGAAGAAACCAACTCATCTACATCTTGGA